TACTTTGTTGAGTTAACTGAGGTTTTGAGTTCAGTTCATTTAAATATAGCAACTCTGAATCTAAAGAACGGCAAAATGCCACCTGACTTGTGCTGTGGGAGTTCTGTTGGTGCAAATCTTTTGAACAAAAGACGTACCTGAAGCTGAGTCTGCAGCGAGCGTCGGGCCAGAAGGCTCTGGATGACATTGGTCCTGTCCAGGCAGTCCATGCAGTTACTGCGGAAAACTCCTTTCTGTTGGGTCATTATCTTTCCCTCAGAGTTCACAATGAAGTAACTACAAACAAACCACAGAGAGTCTTCTTATTTACAGCCTGCACCTAAAGATTAATCAGAAAACAATGAGGAGATCAGCTGGTGGTCTAGTTACCCATATTCCTCCTGCGCCTCTGCGACAGCATCCACTAAGATCTGGAGTCGGTCCCACCTCATGTGGCTGCACTCTTTGTGGAAGTCAAAGGCCAGGTAACTGAAAACAGACCAGACCATGGTTATAATTAGTTACAGCTCCTGGCAAACCTAAAGTTTTTTTTTTTTTAAAGCTGTAGAAAGCAAATGTAAATTAGACACCATTAATTTCCATTAACTTCTTTAAAGTCCAACAGCCACCATGTTTTCATATTACATATCCAGCAAAATATGATTGAGACATAAGTTCTGAGGCAAATGTTGAAAAGTAACAAACTGGTTTTAAAAACATAGTTGTTGAAAAGATTTCAAGCCGTTTCAGTTGCAACTTTGGAAACAGCCCTTTACTTCATATATGGGGAGTGATGTCACGCCAGGGACCAGATCATGACAGACTACTGGATTTCTATTGAGGCAGCAGCAAAGTCAGGCAGTCTTCCAAGTCCCCCAATCTTCCATACATTCTCACTCCCACGCCTGCTGGAACAAATTAACAGTCCCCCACCTCCTCTCTGACTGAGGCCTGAAGTTATTTGTCAAGCACCAAAAAATCTACAGGAGGAAGAAAAAAAGGAGGAAGTTGAAGGAAGTTCAGCGGCAATAAAGACAGAGAGCAGGAGTGAGTCATGAGAGTTGAGAGATTTGATATTTAGCGTGTTTGGATTTTATAGTTAGGGTGTAGTTTAGTGTGTTTAGTCAGTTTCAGTGGGTTTGAGTCAAAAACAATGAGGAAATTGTTGAATGTGAAGCTGCAGCTTCTGTTTGATGTGGAGGATGGAGCCG